ATGGAAAGATTAACACGAATCTATATAAAAGAGAACGTGAGACTTCAATTCATGGGGTACCAGTATCTATTATCCCAAATCGGGATAGTAGGTTTATTTCAAGATTTTGGAAACCGCTCCGGAAAGCTATGGGAGCAACTAGACATGAGCACTACTTACCACCCTCCAACCGATGGGCAGAGTGAATGAACCATTCGAAACACTCGAAGACATGCTCCGAGCCTGTGTGATTGATTTCGGAAAGTCATGGGATACCCACTCGCCCTTGGTTGAATTCTCATACAACAACAGTTATCACACGAGCATCAGGGTTACTCCTCTTGAGGCCTTATATAGACGCAAATGCAGATCGCCCCTCTGTTGGGCTGAGGTGAGGTGACATCCAACTAGCAAAAGGACAATCACCAGACAACACACTTACAGGACAAGAAATCATTCGAGAGACTATAGAAAAGATAATCCAAATCAGAGCTCGACTTCAAGCATCGCGAGACCGACGGAAGGGCTATGCTGACAAACGACGAAAGCCTTTGTAATTCCAAGTCGGAGAACGGGTGCTATTGAAGGTCTTTCCCTAGAAAGGAATGATTCGCTTTAGGAAACGGGAAAACTAAACCCGCGATACAGTGGACCGTTCGAGATTCTTGCCCGGATTGGTCAAATGGCTTAAAGGATGCAGCTACCTGCTGAACTCCGCAACGTACACCCCGTGTTCCGCTTCTCGAATCTAAAAAGATGCCTATCAGATGAGACTCCTGTCATTCCTTTAGAACAAATCGAAGTAAACGAGAATCTCCTGTTCGTCGAAGAACCTGTCGAGATAATGGATAGGGAAGTGAGGCGAACGAAGCAGAGTCGCATTCTAATTGTGAAGGTTCGATGGAACGCCAAGCATGGACCGGAATTCACATGGGAACGCGAAGATCAGATGAACCAAAAGTACCCTCACCTATTCTCTCATTCATGAAACTATCTTTCAAAAGAATTTCGGGACGAAATTCCCTCTAACGGGGGGATGATGTCACAACTAGCATTTTAGCTAGGAAATTCTATCCTCATGTAAACATCATCTAGTATAAGGCATGTACTCTAAGTGAAAATCATACGCTATGCTCATTCAAATACATCACATGTGTTCAAATAAGGTTTGGAAACCCTAGAAATCCCGGTTCAAGTTCATTATGGACTAGGATTCTCTTATTGGGCCTGATGGACCAATAAATCTTCAACTTGACTACTTTGGGCCTAAAAACCCTAATTAGGTTCTAATTGGACCCAATTCATAAATCTATAACATTTTGCGCCATGATGGGACATAAAGGATTTAATTAGCCCTAATGGGCCCTAAACCAATCTCTTTTACCATTTTGGGCCGTGAGCCTCCTTAAGAGCCCAATGGGCCGAAAAATAATTTTTGGGCTCCATAAAAATTCGAACAAGGCCAAGGTTGAGCCCAAATCATTTCACTCTTAATTCCTTGGCCCAAATCTCTGCCCAATGGAGATAATTATGCAATTAATAAAAAAAAGAGAGAGATTAAACATGCAAGTGCCACCTAATCTTTGCAAGGTGGACTTCCATGCTTAAACCCACCATATAACAAGGGAACCACATACATCCAAGCACATCACTTCCACATTTCCCTCCTTCTTCTCTCTTCTCTTTAACTCTCGGCCACCCTCCACTCCAACCTCCACACACTAAAACACCTCTCTAAATCTTCAAGAAATTCCTCTACATTCCTTCAAGAAAACCGTGAGGTGGTGTGGGTGATTCAACAAGTTGTCAACAAACTTCATCCTCTTGGTAAGTTGCTTCATAATTAGGATGTTAAACTTCATCTTTATGCTAAGATCTTTCATCAAACATCATCAATCTCTTGTTCATGCTCCTAGAATCATATCATCTTCGAACATCTCCTCAAGAACACACCTAGGGTCGAGATCTTCTCATCTCTTCACCAAAAACCAAATCCAACACCCCAAGGTGAGTTCATACCCCTTGTTTTCGGTTTTCATATGATTTTTGGGGGAGAATACAAGTTGCTTTGTGTAGATCTATGTGTATATGCATGATTATGTGTGTTTTCCATGAATTATTTGGTGATTATGTGTTGTTTACTTCATTAATCTAAAAATATGTTAAGAACTTGAAGTTTATCACTTGGATCTTCATAAGAACCTTGAGAAAAGTATGTTTTATCACATATAATACATGTAACCTTGTAGATCTGGGATTTACACACTTAAAATAGCAAAAATGAGTGTTGTATTCAAAGATCTATAAACTATACTCATAAAACAGCCCTTGACAGAAAAGTTTTGGTCCAATCTCGGACTGTTTTGACCAACTTAATGATAATATTTTTCAAAACTGTTTTACATGAAAAACTTGCAGGTTTATACCTTTAAAATGACTACTCTCACGTTTTCATACGATTTTTCTACAATTTTTGGCGAATTTTACAAAACTAGCTATCATATTTGAAATAATTTCGGACCAACCTTTGAAGGTGAGCAATTTCACACTATTTTGAGGCCATAAAAAATTATGAGAAAAAATTGTGAACAAAGTAGACAAAAGTTTCAAACTTCCAGAGTTTACGGATCCAAATTTCGAATTACGATGATTTTTCTACAAATTTTCCCACAACTGGGTCAGAAAAGTCAAAAACCAGAAAAATGTGCATTTTCACAAAAATAAGCCAAAAATGATATTTTTGACAAAAATGGGTTAGAAGTGTTATTTTTACTAAAAATTAGCCATGAATACAAGTTTTGTACAAAAATGGGGACTAAAGTTTATTTTTACTAAGATCGGGCCTTAATTGTAAACTTTTGGCTTATTGGGCCAAAAAGATCATTTTTACAAAAAGTGGGCTATTTATGCTATTTTGGTTAAAACTATCAATACAATAATAAACGGGCTAATTTTGCCATTTCCATATTATTGGGCCTTAGTGGCCCATTTATATGTTTAATAGGTCCTGAATACTATTTGTATGTTTATTGGGCCTCATTGACCCATTAATATGTGCGACGGACCTTGGATACTATTTGTGTGCTATTTAGGCCTGTAAATACCTTACGTGTGAAATGGGCCTTAGTTGTCCTTTTACGTATATTTCGGGCCCATGTTATATAAATCTCATTACTATTAGGTCTTGAAATGACTCACATGTTTAGCGATGCCCTAGTGGCTCACTTACATGGTTCGTTGGGCCTGGATGAGTTTTATACATTTTTCTTCGCGTAAATTCGATTAAGGATCTAGTGAGTTTTGTCGGTTGACACCTATTAAGTGTACGATCGTAGCCTGTAGTTATAACCAGAGTCTCTTGGAGGGAGAGCGTGAGTTTGTGTATAGATCTATACGGGGGTAACGCCCCACACCTGAGCTGTTCGCTACAGTTAGACTAGTCCAGTCTAGGGTGACAAACCATAACTTAAACAAGTCGGCGTCTTCCTGACGTCAAGACAGGCGTAATTGTCATTATCAGGTATGGTTGTAACGACTCACTTATAGGAATTAACGTTATAAATTTACGGAAGACCACTCTCTTTTCTTTTTGGATTACTCAGGAACATACATGTACTGGTACTCAACCTTGAGGGTTGGTGTGGCAGCATTTTCTATTACAGACAACATCGGGTTGTCTGGGGACATTCTCTTTTTCTTGGATTACTCAGAAACATACTCTTACTGGTACTAAACCTCGGGGGTTGGTATGGCAGCATTCTCGTTTACGGACAACATCGGGTTGTCTGGAGGCATTCTCTTTACATACTCCTCATCATATCAGTAACATCTTGATACATTCTCATAAACAATAACACACATGCATTAATACAAGATCTGACACAAACACACTAAACTGTTTTCGGAAAATATAGGATTTTCTGGTGGTTTCGAAGTTATACAAATCATTTTCACAAACATGCTTATGAACTCACCAACATTTTTATGTTGACATTTTTAAATTAACTTGTATTCTCAGGAAACCATTGAAGCAGGTTGAGCTGAACAAGCTAACGGATGTTTAGTTATATTTTGTTTCATCATACTTTAACTATTTGGCATGTAATATTACATTACAATACTCAATGTAAACTATGAATGCTGTTATATTACATGTGTGATGATGATGATGTTATGTTTCAATTATATACTCTGTAATGATACTTCAACAATGAAGTCACGTACAGGCCCCGGACGTTTCCGTCGTCTGGTTCGGGGGTGTGACAAGTTAAAATAATCTAACAGGTATAGTGTTTTGCTTTTTTAGAAATATCTTTAATCAAAATTGTTATTAAAAGTGTTTACGGATCAAAATAATCTAAGATATGATTTATTAGGTATCAATTTGTAAAACATGGCCATAATCATTGTCTAGAAAATTTTTGAGTAAAAAAAACAAATTTTGTAACTTTTTCTGTGGAAAAAATAACAGTGAAAAGTTTAAAAATGTCAAAAATATATACATTAAAAACACTAAAAAAAGTTGGAATTTAAAAAATATACATCAAAAATTTTAAATTATACCTATTTAGTAAATATTTTTAAAACTACACCTATTTGGTAAATAAAATTTTAAAACACACCTATTTAGTCGAAAAACTCCATTAACAGCTGGAATAAGTTTTATGCCCCTCATAAATTAATGCCCTGTGGGCTGGCTATGTTGGATTTTGAATAATTGTGCAGCCAAACATGATTTCTAGTTGTGTATTGTAGGCTTTTGTTTCTAGTTAAGTCAAACTGGAAGACAGCCCCTAAATCTGTTTGTAACTCCTTTGGTTGGATGCTACAACTTCCCTTAAATATGCTTGTCGGTAGGTTAACTATTGATGGATATGCAAATCTGTTGTTTTTGGTTTGATTTGAAGTTGAATATCCGTATGTATATGCAATTTTTTAGGCATGGTTGGTTGGTGTACCTATTTATATAAGATAATATGTTTTTTGAAAATTTGATGATGTGTTTTTATGTGTTTGAAGGGATGAGACGAGAAGTAGAAGATGTTCCCGAGTTGATGCATCTTATACAATCACGGTTGACATATGAAGAAGCAGTCCGCACAAGTGTGCTGTCCAAGTCATGGATTCACGCTTGGTCTACCATCCCTATCCTCATATTCATTGTTCAAAGAGGAAAGAACATGATGAAGTTGCAGGACGTGGACCACACTCTTAAAAGGTATCTCCATGACAACATACCAATAGAAAGGTTTTTCCTCCTAATCGACATCGAGAACCAGGAGTCAGCTTCTCTTGCTGAAAAATGGATCGGGCCCATCGCAACCAAAACCTGTCTTAGAGAGTTTTTCCTCTCAATCAAGCTTTTTGGTGCCTCGTTTACGTTACCAGATGAGATACTATCGGGTCAGAATCTTAACCTAACTAAGGTCAAAGTTGAAGCTTCTATGGCATCTCGTTATTCCCTTTGGATGACAACCAGCCAACGTCCTGTGATCAACTGTGTTTCCCTACGAGAACTTCACTTAAAGGGTGTGAGCATAGGTGAAGAGGTACTCCATGACTTATTGTCATCTTGTACCTTGCTTGAGAAGATAGCGCTTATAGATTCTTGCAAGGAGTTCAAGACTCTGAAGGTTAAAAACCTTCGTCATCTTTATGAATTACGAATAGCTTTGGATGCTGCAAGCTCTACTGCTTTGGAACTCAGTGATGTCCCAAATCTTGACGTGTTCAGCTGCGATCTACATAATTTGCGACCAATTATGCCCCTTATTCCATTCAACGCCCATTCAGTATTCTTAGCAAGCAGTCTGACAATACAGGACTACGAGTGTCTGGACATGATCAGAACGGGACTTCCTTTCTTGATAGTTTGACACTTTTTATGAGATATTGGATGTTGGGAAGCTTCCATTTCACATGTGCTTCCATCAGGAGGTTGTGCTTGAAGCGGCCTTATCGATATACAAGTACATGCTCCAAAATTACTTTTGTTCGAGTTCAGCGGCAACATATTGCCTAGACTCTTATTTCCAGTCTCGTCTCTCAAGCACACCACGATTACACTCTCACTCCACACTCCTGTTGATGTTGATTTTTTTTTCTTAAGATGAGGGAAACACTCATGTTATCATGCAAGTGCCGCCTTTCTATAATAACTGACTACTTCAAGGAGGTGGTGGAGGAGGAGGAGGAGGAGCTGCCATTGGACATCGACATCGATGACCTAAGAAAAAGGCTCTTGTTTCCTCCTGCTAGGAACGTGCAACAACTCTCGTTTCAAACGGGACGCGATGAATGCATGTGGGAACGATCCCCCTTTTTTGATGTATTCTTTGAGATTTGCCGTCCCGAGCACGTATTTGCAAACTCAGACATCCGCTTCAGAAACAAAAATCATTTTTGCAGGCTCATGCTGAGGGAGGTCTTGGAGAAGAAGACCAAACCCGCATATTGGGCTCGTTATCTCAAACATGTTGAAATAAGAAGGAATCGTTATAGAAAATGGAAAACCCTAACAAATTCCCAGAGAAGCTTTCTAGAAAATGGCTCCCTAAATTTCAAACTAAAATGGTAATAACGTTCACCCATTTCTTGTACTATTGTTACATGCTTTAATTTTTGTTTTATCCTGTGTGTGTTACACACATATTTAAACATATATTAATTATCGTCTGCATGCGGTGTGCTTTTGATTTGAATCCTATATGTGTAATCCAGTGTTTGTAATTATAATGTTTCAACTCTATAGATTACCGATGGGTATTTGTAATCATAAATGTTTTGTAATTTTTTTTATAGAATTATATTATGTCATGGACTCATGTTGGATGGACTCCTTGTTTGAGTTATAAATCTGATGCTACAGTTATTAAAGGAATTATTTTCTCGATTTTTGATATTGGGTCGTGATTTTGATTTTTCATATTTATGCCTCCATCCGTTCTCTGTTCATATTCTGTACAACAATTTTCATAATTGTAACTTTTGTTCTTTCATCATTTATAGGTGAATTAGTTCTTTCATCATTTTTGATATTGTGAAATTTACTTGTTAGTTTTAGTTCTTGTTTGGTTTTAGTTATGCACCACGCGGATATCCGTATGTTTTAAAATGATAATATCATTGTTATTAATCTTGAATAGCTGAATTAATCTTGCTCACATAATTTGTTATAAAACATTCTAATAATTTTATATAGATATATATCTTTTATGATCGTAAGAACCGTACATTGCGATGGGCGACGTGTCACCATGGTAGTGTGGTGAACATGACACTGTCTGGTGTGTGGTGGTGCGATAAGGCCACTGCGTAATCGAAGTGTGCCACACTCTTTTTTTTTCTTTTGAAACTTTGGAAAACCTTAATCACAAGGTTAATTAAATAGGTCCTAAGGCCCGAGATCTAGGGTTTTGAACCCCCACTGCATCGTGGCCACCTAAAATGTATGTCCAATTAAACAACGTGGTCGCGCCATGGCAATTCCCCATCACCACGTTGCAGTCACTCAAAACCCCGAAACTTCAAAATTTTGAAATAATTGATCCAAAAGAATAATGTCAGGAACAACTACATGCGGTTGTTACATGTGGTTGTGGAAAATGAGAATAAGAGTCATCGATGGTCATTGAATAATTATATTTTATCAATATAACTACAACACTTATATTCCATGTTAACACGATTTAAACTGACTACATTTGTTAAATATTGCTTACACTCTAAAGAAGAGGCCAAACCATCTTTATAAGGTTAAATACAAGATAACAATTTCCCCTCCACGCTTTAAAAATAACTACTTACATAAAATCTAACTACTCACCATCACCAACATCTTTCTCTTTCCATTGTCTCCCAATGGGTCCGAAACACATCGTCATAGCAGCTCGAGACTTGGTCACATAACTTTGCCTTATACATTTTGTTTACTCATCTTTATACATTTCATATCCAATCACAAAGACTCATTTTAACACAAGTTTGGTTTTCATGTTTACTCAAAAGCTTCAACATGTTATTGGTCAAATCAAGAATCAAAGAACCAACATCATCTTCATCTTTTTTTTAAACCCGAAGTATGAGTCAACTACCTTAACACCTTAATAGCCACATTTCTTTCAACAAGTTGTTTGTTTTCTTTGGCTTTCCTACAAATTGCATTCTTTTGAATTCCACTAATGCCCTAAATTCATTTGTTATCAAATGCTTTTTCTTGCATTTGTTCGAAATAGGTGTCCAAAGTCATAACTATTTGGTATAACTTTGAGAATAATAACAAAATTCTTTTAGGCTTCCCCTCATGAGCTAAAATACCTAGAAAAGATTTGAGAGAGTTTGGAAAATAGTTTATTAATTTATTACAAGTTAATAAATTAATTCAAAACTAGTTAGAATTAATTTGGAATTAATTATAGTTAATCTAGATTTAATAAAAGGTGTAGGTGTAACACCTAGTTTTGGGATGTTTCTATTGCCGGGATAATGTGTCGTAAATGGATTGAATAAATGTATTGGGCTTCAAGGGAATAGGGTTTTGACCCTATCATATGTTGATAATGTTGGGTTAAGTGATTAAATCCCTCGAATTATGCTTCGAAGCAAAAGGGTAAAATGGGAAAAGTTATATATCGAGCTTCTTGCATTGATTATTATTTTAGTTCGACATGTATTAACCCAAAAGTAATTAGATAGGGTTGTGGGGCTCCTCAATACCTTTCCATACATATAAAGATCATCAAAAATGGAGTTAAAATAAAGAAGTTATGATTGTTTGAAGTTTAAGCGGATTTGGGTGAAAACTCGTCACCACGAGGTGTGGAGCAGATCCTTATGACGTGATGAGTCAGCACGAGGTGACAAATAGGTTGTCACGAGATAAGCTTTGGGCAGCCTAAGCCCACAAAATGTTCAGGGTTTTTATGCATTTAAAGGGTGGTTCCATGTTTTGGGGTATTTTTCCATCCTCCATCACATCTAAAGCCTCTTGAGAGAAACCCTAGCCTCCCTTTCACCAATTTGAGCTTCCTATATCCTCTCTCATCCATTTTTTTAGTACTTTGGTGGATTTTGGAGGGAATCTTCTTATAAATGGAGTTTTGGAGCCTTCAATAGGAAGATCTCAACTTCCATCTATCTTCTGGACCTTGGGTATGATTCAAGTTTCCACCTTTATGCTCATAAGTTGCTAGATCTAGATTCTAAGCTTTTTTTGGTCCATTAAATGAAGATTGTGTTGTTGGATGTGATAAATTTTGCAACTTTATCATTCCACCTTGTCACATGAGTATTTTGGTCTATGGATATGATCTTTAATGATCTTTTGGTCACCATGCTTGAGGTTAGCATCTCATTTTTGTCATTTTGACCAAGATTGAGCTTAAGACATGCATTGTTCATGCATGTCTATAAGGCTACGATTTTTATGTTGGAAAAGAAGTAATAAAGCCTTATGCAAAGTATGAATGGGTGGCTTGAAGTATTAAGAGCTTAACCCATTAAGCTGTAAGAGCACAACTTTCATGACCTAGCAGTCTGCTTGCCTCGATGTGACGACTGGTATCACCGCGACAGTTTTATCGTGAAGCTATCACGGTGTGACCAATGGGTGGCCACGACGTGGAGACTTGCTAAGGTGCACTTTGACCATTGCCTTTTGACCACGGTTGACTTTTGGTAAAACTTTAAGGGGTGTTAAGCTATAGTATGAGGTTTAGCTTATGTTTTGTAACACCCGTGATTTGAGGTAATGATAACTATTCAATTTTCTTTGTAATTAATTGTTGGACTATGAGATTAAGGCTGGATTATTGTTAGTACCAGAAAGTGAACCTCTATCAATCACACAATAAAGTTCCGAGGTCAGCCTTAGTTCCAAAGTAAAAGATGTTCCGGAGTCAATTTGTGGTTAGAAGTGAAATTGGCGTCCGTATTAAAAGCTTATGGTATGAAGTGAAGGAAGTCCGAAATGGAGAAGATATTGTTCCAATTTTGTATATCTGTTTGTATCTATTTATCTTGTCATTTTGTTTGATGTAACAAGTTATAGGACTTAGTCTTTTTGTCAACTTGGATAATCAAAGTGTCAGAAGCAACTCTTTTATCCGGTCCTATGTATGTTTAGGAGTTTGTACAATGTAACCTTTTCACCTATTTATGGTGCGTTTAATGACAAGAATACGTGCCGGATTGTAGCTCCAAAGATACACCTCTATTTCAAATCAATTCAAAAACATTCTTCTTATTCATTTATTGTCCTTACTTTGATCATTATCGTCATTCTTCATTTATGACTTGAACACTTTGTTGAATCTATTACTTCAGACTTGACTGGTTTACCAGAATTGACTGGAACTTTCATTTAGTAGCAGACATTGATCTTAAGCATTAATTCAAGGTTTGAGTTTTTGAATCTTGTCCTTGCGTAATCAGATCCTTAGTCATCACAATTGGTATCAGAGCTTGAGTGGTTGTCCTTTGAATCCAAAAGATCAGATTATAGTTGATTTGAAATTACATTGGTATTTCAATCATTTATGTGTTCAAGATAAAAGTTCTTCTATATACCACTTTAGCTTGAGATATCTTAACTTCAATGGATGCTTCTAATACTCAACAAATGTATTCAATGCAAATAGCAAATAGCGTAGGCTGCCCTACTCGTGCCCCACTGCTAGTTGTTGAAGAATATGATCATTGGAAAGTCATAATGGAAAGGTTTTTACGGGGTAAAGAGAAAGGTGAAGCTATCGGGAGATCCGTCAAAGAAGGTCCCCATGTTCCAGTTAGAGATGTTGCTGCTCAACTCATGGGTCAAGATGAACAACATCCAACACCTCTCACTGTTGATGATATTGAGAAGTTGCATGCTGATCAA